CTGTTTGATGACAAGATATTTCAATACGACAGTAGCTGCTCTCAATGATTTTGTGTTATTTCTTGTGATTAAGTATGATCACTTTCTGTTTAGTATTTGTCCACGTGATCATATTCGAAAATATTATTTTAATGCGACCTTTCAATCGGTCATTTTCGCCAGATATGATAATGTGGTCTATTGGACATCTCCAAGGTAATTTTACAACAGGTAAGCATGGTTTCTGTACCTTAAAATGCGTGCATATTGACCTATAAATATTCTGCATTGCACATTGTGGGATAAATATAACGAAGTGAAACAGTATGGATTTAACTATACGGTTTGTTATTATAAATAAATATTTGAAATACGGAGACAAATTCAAACATTTAGAATGTGAAAGCTCATTAACGACATACCTATAAACAGTACATGTACAACTACGGTGGTCGCTGCTGCCAAATATGAACCTATCTTAATTAATTATAAGTTCGGCCATTACATTAATGGATTAAAAGTAGAAATGTACATGTTCCAGGTGTTCTCTAGTGGATGTTATCATGATCTTGGCCGCTTCCATGGACCATCTTCAAAAGGAGTTAGACATTATACACAGATATTCATGCAAGTGGCGACTTACCTATAGCCCTAAAAAGTAAGGTTATGCAGTAAACGCTAAGCCATTAGAGATTGAAACTCAGTCACAGTTTGTGAGAAAGAACTCGCATCATTAACCACCACCATCTTCGCGGAATTGAGTTTCACCCTACAACCTGAAAGACGATGAAGGTTTAGTTGACTCTTGTAAAAAAAGCAGGCGGACACTCAAATCACTTAAAAGTATTGATATTCATTATTCGCTATGTAGCTTTATGTATGGTACCACGCTTAAAGAAAAAATGAGTTTTATCGCGGGCATTTATCAAGTAATGAAAAACATTCAAATCGAGATTTTTTTGAAGATCAAATTACAGACTATGTTTTATCTTTAAAGAATGCATGGGCAATGTTTATTACAAATGTTGTGTCGTATTTATATTATGATAAATGGAAACATGATCTCTCTCCAAAGTGGAGTTAAAAAGGTATTGTGAAATCCATGTATCAAGTGGTCCTTATCTAATCCTGAATTTGTGTGCAAAATTTCCTCAATATACTTGGAAATTAGCAGATCTTATGTTACTATCAGTGAAAAATGAATTTGGAGAGGGTACATGTAGACTGAGTGAGAAAACTACAATTGATAACTTCAACACAATGTCTTTTTCTTGATAAGATAGTAAATATTGTAAATGATGAAGACTATGTAGACTTTTTATTTCTTGAGGACATCTAACAAACTGATTTTCTGTCGGGAAGTCGTGCGCGCGCCAATGTGGCTGATGACGAGTGGTAGAGTTGGATGCTGGTTGTTGCAGAGGGAGTTGAGTTGCTGTTCTCTGACATGAACTCGAGACTTTAAATTTAATATAACCTGATCTTATTTGTCTTTGATGTTCTGATCGATTTTCAAGTTGGAAACTGTAAATATCGTTTGTATTGTTTAGTGTTATTTTGAAATATCCGTGCAGAAGAAATAAATAATTTATCTGTCTGTTTGTAGACGTTTGTGTATACCGCTTGCTTTGAAGTTCACACGCGTGAACGTACGATGGATAGCATAAATCACGTGCTATTACGATAACTTTTGATAAACAAGTCAACGATTTTGGAACTCATTATATCTTATATATCTATAATATATAACATACATGTTACCGGCATTTTTATTAACAAAATTTATCAAAATGTGAAAAGCGTACAATTTTTTTTTTTGTTTTTTTTTTGTGTGTGTGTGTGTGTGTGTGTGTGTGTGTTTCATTATCTAAACTTTACTTAGACATGTACATGTATACAATTCTGAAAGTCGGACGTGATAAATGATGATCTTCGGCGAGGAGGCAAGGAAAAAAACAACTAAAATATCGCCGCTGTTATTTCACGTAAGAGAAAACCAGGAAAATACGACATGTTTTTCACTAAAAACAAATTCCTAAGGTGTTCACAGCGTTAGGCGTTGATATGAGGAGTAGTGACAGTGATTAAAATTTAAAATTGTTAAAACTTTGTGTTCTATGTCAAAGGTGAATGAAAATGACTAAACATGGTGCAAATGCAACAATATGAAGATGATTTTCTGAAAATATAAGACTTTCGATTGGTCGCTTTAGTTTTGCACCATTGTTATAGCATTGCGATGTACATATCCTTTACCTTACACCGTTGTTACAGCATTGCGATGTCTATATCCTTTACCTTACACCGTTGTTACAGCATTGCGATGTCTATATCCTTTACCTTACACTGTTGTTACAACATCGCGATGTCCATGTCCTTTACCTTACACCGTTGTTACAGCATTGCGATGTACATATCCTTTACCTTACACCGTTGTTACAACATCGCGATGTCCATGTCCTTTACCTTACACCGTTGTTACAGCATTGCGATGTACATATCCTTTACCTTACACCGTTGTTACAACATCGCGATGTCCACGTCCTTTACCTTACACCGTTGTTACAGCATTGCGATGTACATATCCTTTATCTTACATCGTTTTTAAAGCATTTCGATGTCCATATCCTTTACCTTACACCGTTGTTACAGCATTGCGATGTCTATATCCTTTACCTTACACCGTTGTTACAGCATAGCGAAGTCCATATCATTTACCTTACATCGTTGTTACAGCATTGCGATGTACATATCCTTTACCTTACACCGTTGTTACAGCATCGCGATGTCTATATCTTTTACCTTACACCGTTGTTACAGCATTGCGATGTACATATCCTTTACCTTACATCGTTGTTAAAGCATTGCGATGTCCATATCCTTTACCTTACACCGTTGTTACAGCATCGCGATGTCTATATCCTTTACCTTACATCGTTGTTACAACATCGCGACGTCCACGTCCTTTACCTTACACCGTTGTTACAGCATAGCGAAGTCAATATCATTTACCTTACATCGTTGTTACAGCATTGCGATGTCCATATCCTTTACCTTACACCGTTGTTACAGCATTGCGATGTCCATATCATTTACCTTACATCGTTGTTACAGCATTGCGACGTCCACGTCCTTTACCTTACATCATTGCGATGTCCATGTGCTTTACCTTACACCGTTGTTACAGCATTGCGATGTCTATATCCTTTACCTTACACCGTTGTTACAGCATAGCGAAGTCCATATCATTTACCTTACATCGTTGTTACAGCATTGCGATGCCCATATCCTTTACCTTACACCGTTGTTACAGCATCGCGATGTCCATATCCTTTACCTTACACCGTTGTTACAGCATTGCGACGTCCACGTCCTTTACCTTACATCATTGCGATGTCCATGTGCTTTACCTTACACCGTTGTTACAGCATTGCGATGTACATATCCTTTACCTTACACCAGTTCATTTGTTGTGCACACTCAGGTCGAGTGTTGTTTACCTTCATGTCACGAGTTGTTCACATGCAGGTCATATGTTGTTTATACTCTAATCAGGTCATTTCCTGTCTTTAGCCATGACCTTACATCCGGGATACATGTGATACAGTTACATGGCATTTAAGAATAGTCTTCTACCTATCAATAATTAAGTGTTCTCATAATAATGCCAAAATATGCAAATATTTTCATATACCGTAATGATTCCTCATTTATTGTTTCTATTTCAAGGGGTTCTATCTAAAGTGGTTTGGAATGCTTTAAAAATGTACATTTAGTACAACTATGGTGTATTTTTATTTTACATAAACATTTATGAAACTTCTCCCAAATGAACTTTGAACTTTTTTTTTCAATTATGGTGTTTTCTTTATATGTATGCTTAATTATTGCTTTATTTGTTATACACTGATACTGGTCTGGTACTTGGTAATGGATGGTTGCCTTTTTATTTGTCTCTAAAAAGCAACCTACATACAGGAAAATTTACTTGGAGATGACTTGTCATAGTTATTACCTATAACTGTAGATAATAGAGTTTGTGGAAAATTTAATATTGCCAACAAGTTTTCTCATTGTTATAACCTATAATTGTAGATAATAGACATCAATTTACAGTATAGTTTAGAGTTTTATTTTGATAAGAACATAAAATGCATCATTTCAACACTTGAAAATTTTATTAAACATACAAAGTAATTTTTAGTATTTGCTTCACTCCATAAAAAGTATATGTGTATACAATAAAAAATATATTTTTCTCAGATGCGACTGTCAAATTTGACACGAGTATATGAAATGGCCACTATTATAACTGGTGGTGACAAGATAAAATTTCCCCGAGTTGACATCACAATAAACTGGAAAATTCTAGTGGTAGATTTGTATAACACGTCATCAAGTTTACATTAATGATCAAATAAGCTTTGAGATATATATGAGTGAAAACATCATCTGTATACAGTTAAAGATTCATGTAGTTTTTTCATCTTTTCTAAGTCTATAACAAGCATAAAACTTAAGAACTGAAATTTATTATAAAAGGCCTCACACTGTGGCAGACTCCAAAACTGAAAAAACAAGGAGCTGCAAAGCCTGGCATTATCCCCTGTTGGTGTAAACCCAAATATGTTATATATATACCGGTATAACAATTTGTGAGATCACTTGATTATGTACCACTACTATCAAGTGAAGATCTGATACAGTAAAAGCACTAGTGCAAAATGTAATGTCAGCTTTTGTCAGTTATTAATTAAATTTCCTTACATCTGCACAACTTCAACATTTTATACATATATATATATCTTTTATATATCAACTTATAGTAAGAGTTTATATCTTGTTGTAGATCCTGTGTGTTTGACTGCTGATATTTGAATAGAGACTGGTGTTGTCCATGAACAAATGGATGCAACACTCTGTAATCGCTGGAGTAATAAAAGAAATCATAAGAAATTGAAAAATTTGATGGTAATAGAAAAAAGATAAAAAATAAAACGTCCTCAATAAAAAAGGCACAACTAGGGCACTAACCCAATATATACAGAAAGTTCTGTGGAGCTGAGTGGAATGGTTTCGAAATTGTAGCCTGGAAAAGAAAGTTAACACTGATTTTGTGAGGTGTTTTTGACAATGTTTCCATGGTAACAGAAAATATAACAAAAATGAAAGGTCGTCAATAGCAAAAGGAAAAACTACAGCACTATCTTACGATATACAGCAAGTTTTGTGAAGCAGAGTTGAACCGTTTTGAAGTTAAAGCTACCTCACTGATTTACATACAGGTGGCCTATTGAATGTTGGCTACCTCACTGATTTACATACAGGTGGCAAAATTAAATGTTGGCTACCTCACTGATTTAGTCAACAGGTGGCCTATTGAATGTTGGCTACCTCACTGATTAAATTACAGGTGGCCTATTGAATGTTGGCTACCTCACTGATTCACATACAGGTGGCCTATTGAATGTTGGCTACCTCACCGATTCACGTACAGGTGGCCTATTGAATGTTGGCTACCTCACTGATTCATGTACAGGTGGCCTATTGAATGTTGGCTACCTCACTGATTTACATACAGGTGGCCTATTGAATGTTGGCTACCTCACTGATTTACATACAGGTGGCCTATTGAATGTTGGCTACCTCACTGATTCATGTACAGGTGGCCTATTGAATGTTGGCTACCTCACTGATTCATGTACAGGTGGCCTATTGAATGTTGGCTACCTCACTGATTTACATACAGGTGGCCTATTGAATGTTGGCTACCTCACTGATTTACATACAGGTGGCCTATTGAATGTTGGCTACCTCACTGATTCAAGTACAGGTGGCCTATTGAATGTTGGCTACCTCACTGATTTACATACAGGTGGCCTATTGAATGTTGGCTACCTCACTGATTTACGTACAGGTGGCCTATTGAATGTTGGCTACCTCACTGATTTACGTACAGGTGGCCTCACTGATTTATACAGGTGGCCTATTGTTGGCTACCTCACTGATTTACATACAGGTGGCCTATTGAATGTTGGCTACCTCACTGATTTACATACAGGTGGCCTATTGAATGTTGGCTACCTCACTGATTTACATACAGGTGGCCTATTGAATGTTGGCTACCTCACTGATTGTTGGCTACCTCACTGATTCATACAGGTGGCCTACAGTTGTACCTCACTGATTTACATACAGGTGGCCTATTGAATGTTGGCTACCTCACTGATTTACATACAGGTGGCCTATTGAATGTTGGCTACCTCACTGATTTACATACAGGTGGCCTATTGAATGTTGGCTACCTCACTGATTTACATACAGGTGGCCTATTGAATGTTGGCTACCTCACTGATTCACATACAGGTGGCCTATTGAATGTTGGCTACCTCACTGATTTACATACAGGTGGCCTATTGAATGTTGGCTACCTCACTGATTCACGTACAGGTGGCCTATTGAATGTTGGCTACCTCACTGATTTACATACAGGTGGCCTACTGAATGTTGGCTACCTCACTGATTCATGTACAGGTGGCCTATTGAATGTTGGCTACCTCACTGATTCACGTACAGGTGGCCTATTGAATGTTGGCTACCTCACTGATTTACATACAGGTGGCCTATTGAATGTTGGCTACCTCACTGATTTACATACAGGTGGCCTATTGAATGTTGGCTACCTCACTGATTTACATACAGTTGTCATGATTATGTAAGCCAATGCTTCAACCCACTGAACTATCATGACCCTAGAGAACCATTGGATATACAGACATGTTTTGTTAGCTGTTTCCTGGGATGAATCCTCAGAAAAATCTGCTTTCCTGGTCACAGACCCAGAGGTAAAAAATGCAAAAATTCTCCTTATTCAAGTAAATTGGTAACTAGTCAATGTAGAGTACTATAACTGAGGTTTTGTCCATAGAGCAATTTATGACATACAGATTCATTTTAACATACTGGTTAAATTAATTTTTTTTTTTAATTCTCATCAAAAATCTCGGTACAGGGTAGGATACAACAGACATTTCCAGTCAATTTAATTCTTCTGTAACTTACCATTCAGCTTTCCAATCAAGTCATTCATTGGGACATGAACTACTTCAATGAATTCTGTAAAAAGATCAGATGAACTTTTATTTCATAAAATCTCTGATACTTAGTAGATTACATGTAAAAATGTTGAATGATGATCAAAGCATATGCATTTTAATTGTTTGTTTAACTGAAGAAAATTACTACCTCCAATATTACTAATAATTATCATTGTTAATTGTTAGTACAAAGTGATGTTTGTTTACAAGTGTAAAAGATGTTGTAGATAAAAATGACCTCGATGTGGTCAATTGTCAATAGGATCACAAAATCTTGCCACAATGATATTTTATTCCAAAATCACTTGTGATACCTCACTAACTCCTCATAATTCCAGAATCAATTGTGATACCTCACTAACTCCTCATAATTCCAAAATCAATTGTGATACCTCACTAACTCCTCATAATTCCAGAATCAATTGTGATACCTCACTAACTCCTCATAATTCCAGAATCAATTGTGATACCTCACTAACTCCTCATAATTCCAGAATCAATTGTGATACCTCACTAACTCCTCATAATTCCAGTCACTTGTGATACCTCACTAACTCCTCATAATTCCAGATACCTCACTAACTCCTCATAATTCCAGAATCAATTGTGATACCTCACTAACTCCTCATAATTCCAGAATCAATTGTGATACCTCACTAACTCCTCATAATTCCAGAATCAATTGTGATACCTCACTAACTCCTCATAATTCCAGAATCAATTGTGATACCTCACTAACTCCTCATAATTCCAGAATCACTTGTGATACCTCACTAACTCCTCATAATTCCAGAATCAATTGTGATACCTCACTAACTCCTCATAATTCCAGAATCAATTGTGATACCTCACTAACTCCTCATAATTCCAGAATCAATTGTGATACCTCACTAACTCCTCATAATTCCAGAATCACTTGTGATACCTCACTAACTCCTCATAATTCCAGAATCAATTGTGATACCTCACTAACTCCTCACATTAATTCTTCGGTGAAAACCAAGTACAATGTACATGAGGTTTAGCACTCCAACAAACTGAACTCAATAGTTTTTGTGGGGTATGATTAGTAAGCAAAATGTGACATATCGACAGGTATATAAAAGAATATCTGTTATTCTCTGCTCCAATCAGCTGTCAAGCTTATCGCTATACAGACAGAGTGAACTGAAGGGAAGTAACTCTGATGAATCAGAAAGTGTTGGTGTGTACTTACCAGACTCATCTTCAATCAGCCAGACAGGACACCAAATCATAAAGGAAAGAAAGGAAGTTTCAATAAATTATTTACAGAAAAAATGAAAATCCTTATAAAAGAAATCTATCATTTGTTTTCTGTTACAACCATCTTCTCTACATTTTCTACAAATTCTCCTAACTTTACAACAGTAGTGTAGTGTAAATAATTTCACACATTTTGTGGTTTGATGGGAATGAATGTATATTTCGTAAATTCTTGACAAATTAAGGCTCAAACTTCAACAACAGAAATGCAACATTAATTCAGGCATAGGACAGCATCATGACATTATTTTTATACGTCGTATAATCGTAAATTTTTTTTATTTATTGTACTTCGGGAGAGAAAGGCAGTTCTACTCACCTGGTGTAGGCTTTGGGTTTTTGTTGTCCTCTGTATCACCATCAATCTGAAACGGAATCAAATATAAACATATTTAGTCTGATCGTAATATGGGACGCTTTAATGTTTCTACACACTTGGATGAACTAAATCCTGTTTAGTAAATACAGATCAACTTAACCTTTAACGACATATGAATTATATGTCTGACATCAAATACAGGTGTATTACCTCTGCAGTGACGATCTGCAGTGTAGCACTTTCTGTCCCTGCATCCATACAGGTAACTGGAATATAAACATCAAAAGGTGGAAAGTATGAAACAAAACAATATATTAAACATTTGTTACATTTTAAGTCCTATTGTAGTTAGTACAGGATCACGTGTATCATATTGCGTTCAATCTGAGATTTTACATTTGAAGATAAAATCAGGTCTAAGTGTGGTAATTGAAACTCTCAAATAACCTGGTCGTCAAAAAGCATTCAGTGTTGGAAGTCCACTTTATTTTGTCAGGTCAACCAGATATCCTTAACTGTTTAAATCATGAAAAAGCTAGAATTTACTTGATATTTCTTTATTTTTGATCAAATTAAAAATAAACAAGAGACACATGGGCCTTAACGGTCATCTGACTATAAAGACCTATATATGAAAGAGGCCAAATAGGCCTAAAATGAATTGCTCAACTTCTCTACAGCTTACATAGAAGACATTGTTGGTTTATCAAGACATTTTCTGCAAACTTGAAATCTTATTCTTTATACATGCACTAAACAATTGCCATTACTCCAGACATATTGCTTGTTCAAAAAGCAAGCTACAGGTCCAATACTAAGACCCTTGGCCTTTAGGTTATTGAGAAAAAGTTGCTTAAGCAATGTGGTTAAAATTCATTCAAGAATTAAGAAAGAGCAGCATTTTGAAGCAAAATCTTATGTAACTTCCCCTTTTGGGACCTTGCCTACAAGTCCCTAGGGGTCGAATTAAATTTCTGATTTTAAAAGATAGTTACCTACCATTAGTGATGAACCAGACTAAAGCTTGTTGATATCAACTGAAGAAGAAAGGAGGAGTAGAGTTTTAAATCTAATTTCAGCACCTCCCACTTTGGGGCTCTGTCCCTAATGATGCATCAGACCAAATCTGATTGAAATCTATCCAGGTATGAAGAGGAGTAGGGTTTAAAAAAAAAGTTCACACATGAGGAACGATGGACGGCATACGGCGACAGATGATCTACTTTTTGGATCTTATGAAGTCAAAATGACAATTACAACAAAGTACATAAACTGATACATACAGATGTGATAGCTATACAATAGAATTGATTATAAGGATGTTACTCAGAATGAATTATCACAAAGAGATGTATATTATCACTTACTAGGAGATGTATGTTTTACTGTAGCAGTATAGCCTGTCTCCTCCTTCAGCTCCCTAACAGCAGTCTGCTCTGGTGTTTCATTTTTATCCATCAATCCTAAAAGAAAATCAAACACAAATAGAAATAGATTTCTTCTTAAATGAGAGAGTTTACTCATTCAACAAAATCATAATCAATGTTTTCAAAGCCTAATGCAAACCATTAAGAAAGTTTGTGTGATATCCTTCAAGCTTTTTAATCAAATACCAAAATTATGTTGATTTCACCTTTAACCCTGCCAAGAGTTTGTCTTTGTGTATCACCACATCTGTTGTAAAACTTACCTGCTGGCATTTCCAGTGTGTATCCTCTCATGGGAGGTCGGTATTGCTTAACAAGGACAAGACTATCAAACTTCAGCAGGCGTTTGAGGACAGCAATCACACAAACAGCTGCAAACAAACATACTTCTGTTAAATAACAATGAACAAAAAAACAAAGAGTTATTGACATGGATATCTATTAAAAAGGCAGGTGTCTTAATTTTAGGACGGAGAAAGTGAGAGTTTTAACTGTTGGTTTCATTGTAGGAAAATGTCAAGTTTAGGCACTGATATTACCATGGTTGGTGTACCAGTCAAAGGCAGCGCCCTCATATTCCACAACTACAGCCAGGAATCAATATACCCATGGTCAGACTTTGCATTGACTTCATGTACTTTTCCAGATATTATGGGATGTCTCTCTGGGTAAATGCTCTCCCAATACTAGTTGTTCTTCCAAAAAAGTTGACAGAATGTCTAAATAACAAGGACCGAAAGCACAATGTTTCCACAAAAGTGATTGATATAAATTGATCAAATTTGATTTGTCAGTCTGTTAAATAAATTCCTGTAAACTTGAAAGACTATTGAGTAATATGAACCATGGCCTATCCTAATTGCCAACATATTCAGCTCCTGTGACCTTGAAAGTTGGTCCAGGCCATTCATTTGACCAAACTTGATAGCCCTTCATCCAAGCATGCTACAGGTCCAATATCAGTACCCTTTACTTTCTGGGTATTGAGAAGTAATTGTTTAAAATATTTTAAAACACTTGACTTCTGTAACCTTGAAAGTTAGTCAATTGGTCAAAGTCATTATTTGGAACAAATTTGATAGCCTTCTACCCCAGCATGCCACAGGCCTAATATTTGGGCAGGTGAGCTAAAAATGCTAAACTGTATAGTTTACATTAAAGGTATATATTTGGAGCAAAGGATATTACATACATATATATTTATAGACACAGAAAAAGACAAGGCAAAGATCATTTACAACAAGTGAAATGAAAATATATGTTACAGGACTACAGAGCTATCTTTGTCGTGGTTTACTCACCATCACAGCCCGCATCAGTAGTGGTAGTTCTTTTGGCTGCTTCCCACAACCTGGGAACAACAAGGTCACGCTAGTGAGTAACAGCATTGTTAAATATACATTGCCCTTCACAGTTCAATATCGCAATTTTCAATTGACAGCATGTTATCATATATTGAAAGATATAAATACTCAAATCTGACATTCTTGCAATAATGTGCATTTTTGCAATAATGTGCTTTTTGCAATAATGTGCATTTTTGCAAAATGTCTTACAAGTCCAAAACTATTGTTCACAGATGGTTTACATATGAATTCAAATTTTTGTGAAAATTTATGACATTTTGTTCAAAACTATTTTGTTTCATTCATTGTTTAAAATCTGGCCTCTCCTTTGCTTTGGTTACTTTCAGGAGTTGAAATATATTATGAAAACGTATGTATTTGCAATTTTCATTGATGCATGAATCACTTTCAATTTTCTCATGAGCTCCTATGAATAAGCAAACAAAGGTCATCGACTTCTTGGATGGCTGTGTACATACATGGATGTAATAATTCATTAAGTAACTATATAAGTATCTTGTAATATAATGTAAAATATTCAAGTCTTAATTTCTTATTTTAAAATATACCAAAATACTCGGATTATGTGTAAAATTTCCATACCTGTAATTAACACCAAGTTTTAACAGGATTGAACAGAGCTATGTCTAAACATCACAATTTTGAGATAATTAAGAAAGGTCGAAGGGAAATAAGGGCATAATTCAATATCTTGTGTCCCTCTGGCCTACATCTTGTTACTGTGTAGTTGAAGTTGTTGGTTTCAGCGTCAACAATTTCAACATTTTCCTGTTGCTAGGGCACTTCTCTGAATAAAACTCTGGAAGTTTTAGCTGAATTCAACTATTTTTTTCTGAAATATCACCACAAATCACAGATTTTTATTAATACATTAATATATGCTGATTTGGTGAATCACTTTTCTATTAGCCCAAATATAAACACTTTGTATTTCTGTCTGCTTTTTGAGTTTTGAAAAAACAATTACATTAGGGTGAAATAACAAAACAATCAGTACAACAACTCTTTTTTTTGTTTATACTATTTCAAAATATTTTTCTATCAAAGCATTTCGTTTTCAAAAATGTTAGATTTTAGAACAATACCAAAAAAAAGATTTATTAAATTTTTCAAAATTTAATATTTTTTAGTTGTTATGGAAACTAGGGGTTGTCAAATCAAATTGAAAATTAGCATTATTCTAAAATGTAATTTTTGCATATTACCGGGGTATCTGAGAATCATTATTTTGCACTGTATTGAAAAAGAAAAAAAATTGCTGAATACAAAGTCTGCTTCAAAAATAATTCAGAGTTCTTGTTATTCAGGAAAAGACCGAGAAAAACAAGCAAAATTCAAGCAAAAATAAAAAAGGAAACTCAACAACACGAAGATTTTGTGTTGTTGAGTTTCCTTTTTTATTTTGATTATGTTTTTTTTTATTTTGATTATCTTTAAGAATTGTAGAAGTTTAAATGTATTAACATTAAAGACTAAGGACTCCAAATAACAGGATTTTTACCTGCTTTATCTAATGAAATATTTATCACCCACAACAAATCAAAGTTTTTTTTCATAAGCTTTTTCAATCTGAACTTACATTTAAAAGGAAATTCTCATATATGACTGTATTACAGTCTATTTAGGATGTTTGATTTCACAAACCTTTCTCTTCCTCGGGCATCAACATAGGTAATCTTGTTCAGAGCCATCCATTTACATCTCGCCACCTCCTGTTACAAAACATAACACATGATAAGTAATATAGATGTCAGAATAGCTGAGATAGGTCTCCACGGTTTATCTCAGTGTCAGATTTTTATACATTGTGCCAAATGAAGCACAAGCTGAGGTTGGAAAGCTACAATGTACAAAATGAATTTCCAGAGAGAAAATTTAAAATATTGTCTCAATTGCTGTGTTTCAACTTCCAACTTAGAAATTTCTCATAAATATGAAATGACTGCAGAGAGGAAGAATACAACCAGGCTAAATAGCACAGACACATGACAATGAATTAGTAGTTTTTAAACCAATTTTCATATTGTGTCAACATTAGCACTAACTGTTCATTGCCAATGGGTGCTTCATAAAAAATCTGTAGTGTCATGATAGGGCATCAGTTGTCGTTATAAATGACAGAACAGCTCAGAAAAGCATTACATATTATGTTACATGGTATGTTTGCCAGCAACACGTATACACTGTCATTTATACCTGCAATAAATGCCCGAAGACACTAGACAGTTCAAATCTTAAAATACATCTCTGCCGGTTAGGCTGATAACGACCTGATTTAGACTAAAGAAAATATTCATTATATGTAGTCAATCCATCAATATACATGTACACAACATTGCATATGTACAGTGCAAACATACATTGTTAATTAAAGTTGGTCATCAGAAGACCATGTCAGGCATGTGTGACTGCAATACATGTAATTTTTACCTCCTCTTTGACAAATCGTGGGTTGCTTGTTCCATCCATCCTTACAGTGCTCCTGATAGTTGCCGATAAAAATAAATCAGATGTATGCTTTGGTTTGGATAGAGTGACACACACTTTCCTAGTGAATAAAGTTCCTGCTATGAAGATCATAACAACAAATACACGTGGTGGGGTCTCAAGGTCTCAAAGGCGCTTATAGGTATTAGCCAAAATAATATATATGCAAGTGTTTATGGTGCAAACTTTACTAGGACATTTTCTACAATATATTACACTACTCGCTGCATGTCAATATCGTTATCGAAACGAATGTTGATAGCACACGAAATATGTTTTAACTATACAGCTTCGGATTCATGCAGGGGCCAAACAGGCATCGTTAAATGTCTACCAAACTAGATCTAGAGTTATCGTTCTTTCCAATTCTCTAGATCGTTTGGTGAATGGTTCGACGCTCACCCGGGGCATCTACCCTGATTTACTTTCATTTTTATCCCTGCACCAACCATGATATGATACCAAACTTCAATAAATAATTTTAGTTTTCATGACAAAAAGTGGATGGACACTGCAAGTGAAAACAGATGTTTACCTTCAAATTCAACAGAATGCTATTTCCCGAGTTGCTTAAACAGGATTTAGTGAGAACATAACTATCATTTCTAAAACAATGGCTCCTCTTAGCATTGTAGTTTGAATACTTCAAGAATATGACAAACCTTAACATGTTTCATTTCAGTATTCAGTATAACAAATGAGACTCTAGGCACAAGTTATAACAACTCTGAGAAACCTTCGTACGTCAGTGCTAGTATGCTAAACACTGGTCATTTGTCTGATCAAGGTGACCGTGTAGTCATCAAAACGGCACACTCTAATCTTCTACTGGTATTATTATGAGAACTTCTATTCTACTGACATTACCAACCTGCAGAAAATGTTCCAAAATGCTAGAGTACTAGCTTGATGCTTGTACAAAGTTTTGATACTGGGTAATCACCTTGAATGGTTTAAGAGAACTGGTGTGAAAAAACTGAACTTTGTAATTTGGCCTATCTGTTTCCATAGTAACAGGTAAATGGAGAAATTCTCCATAGCAAAAGATGCTACTAGCTTAATAAGAGTAAAATGTTTTGAGTAATTATCTTGAATGGTTTCAGAAAACTGGTCCAGAAAAACTGAAATTTGTGATGAGGGTTATCTGTTTCCACAGTAAATTCAATTAGGGCACTAACATAATATATACATAAAGTTTTGTGGAAATGTGTGGAATGGTTTCGAACTTGTAGCCCAGAAAAGAAAAAAATTACACTAATTTTGTTTTTTTACTTTGTTTTCATGGTAACAAAGAAAACATAAAAAGTTAAATGTCAAAAGTCACAACTAGGGCACAAACCTAATATATACAGAAAGTTTTGTGGGGTTGAGAGGAATGATTTCAAAGTTGCTGCCCCAAAAGGAAAGTTAACACTTATTTTGTATTTTTTGACTATGTTTCTGTGGTAACAAAAAAATTTATTAAACGAAATGTTGTCAATAGCCAAGGCACAACTAGGGCTCTAATTTGATATATACAGAAGGTTTTGTGAAGTTGAGTTGAAGGGTTTTGGAGTTATAGCCTGGAAAAGCCCTCCGACAGACAGAGCCCAAATTGATATCCCCTGTATACACGTTTTGCAGTAGATAAAAACACTGATATACAGTAACTCCATAAACTCAGGACTATACCAGCCAAACAATCATCATCCTTAATTAGTTGCTTGATGTCTTGACCTTTATAACCTTGAATATGGGTAAAAGTCTATTCTTTCCAGACTTTGTTGCACTTCATCCAAGATGACGACCAGCAAAATATTATGATTCTTGGCCTTTTGGATATTGAGAAGAAGTCATTTAAAGGGAGAAAATGGAAGTCACTAAAAATGGCTGATTCTTCTCAAACATTAGCTCATACATGTTTATGCTGCCAATTCAATACAACATGTATAGTCTTCACAAGTACTCAGAATAAATCTTAAAGATCCTTTGTGATTTTGTTTCCATTTATCCTCCAGAACTAAATCACTGTGCAGATAGCATGAATACTATAAAGAATCATGATAATTTTTTCACAACAGGAAAATGATAACAGAACAAGAAGTTCACTTTATCTTTTATTACATAGAAATTAAGATTCATATAATCCATTTCATATATCACTCCACGTGGTATTTCTCATATCAAAACATATTAAATAAGGAAGTAAAATCTTCATCTATCTTTTAACATGTATATATATCATGTTAAATCATCTGATATAGACAACAACACATGGCAACTGTTATATAACCTACTAGAAATATTCTAATTATAATTCAAATTTTTCATTAGTCAGTCAGTAATCAACTTAAGTCAATAAAATACTCCACAATATAAAGACACAGTCACAAAATTATAAACCCAATTCAGGTTTATGTACAGGACTTGCCCGTGTGTAGCCACATGAAATAGTTTGCTAAGACGTGTCTTTTAAAGAATACACATGTGGTAGCCATTGGTTTTGTGGCATGATACAGAGGTAGGAATGATGACCGTTTGTTAGTCAGTCAGACAACAATATGTGGTGTACCAGGATTTGTTCTTGTGTTTTTACAAACAAAGTAGAATGAATCAGAAGAAGAAGATGATAGTACTATGATGAGATGACCTGTCAGGATACATCCATCTGTTGAAGATCCTCTTCATCACCTTCACTTTCTTGAGAAAATTCATTGTATTCATCATCAAAGTCCCATAATTCTCCTAAGGCACTTACTGTAAAAAAAAACACACAATAAAATGATTCAGAGTAGATCTCAGCTAAAAATACTCTCACAGCTTTTAAATATGATTGTGAAAAATGAAACCTTCCAGCCATATTCAAATTTAGAAAAGAATTGTGCCAGGCCTCCTCCATGAAAATCTCCCAACAAAATCCACTGCATCGTGAAATTAACAGTGTATTAAAGGATGTTTACGAAATAATTGCTGGTGTACTTTGTTAAGGAAAATAAATAAAGACTTAACCAATGCTTTCATAAAGAAGCATAATGCCAATAAATTAATAACAAGACATTCAATGCAAGTAAGAGTTATTCTAGTAAAACATCTGGACCCTAGGACTCCAGGTTTTGTTTCGGGCTATTCTAGTAAATCTGGACCCTAGGACTCCAGGTTTGTTTACAGCTATTCTAGTAAAACATCTGGAGGACTCCAGGTTTGTTTACAGCTATTCTGGTAAAACATCTGGACCCTAGGACTCCAGGTTTGTTTACAGCTATTCTAGTATAACATCTGGACCCTAGGACTCCAGGTTTGTTTACAGCTATTCTGGTAAAACATCTGGACCCTAGGACTCCAGGTTTTGTTTGAGCTATTCTAGTAAAACATCTGGACCCTAGGACTCCAGGTTTTGTTTACAGCTATTCTAGTAAAACATCTGGACCCTAGGACTCCAGGTTTTGTTTGAGCTATTCTAGTAAAACATCTGGACCCTAGGACTCCAGGTTTTGTTTACAGCTATTCTAGTAAAACATCTGGACCCTAGCTATTTCTAGTAAAACATCTGGACCCTAGGACTCCAGGTTTGTTTACAGCTATTCTAGTAAAACATCTGGACCCTAGGACTCCAGGTTTTGTTTACAGCTATTCTAGTATAACATCTGGACCCTAGGACTCCAGGTTTGTTTACAGCTATTCTAGTAAAACATCTGGACCCTAGGACTCCAGGTTTGTTTACAGCTATTCTAGTATAACATCTGGACCCTAGGACTCCAGGTTTTGTTTGAGCTATTCTAGTAAAACATCTGGACCCTAGGACTCCAGGTTTTGTTTGAGCTATTCTAGTAAAACATCTGGACCCTAGGACTCCAGGTTTTGTTTGAGCTATTCTAGTAAAACATCTGGACCCTAGGACTCCAGGTTTGTTTACAGCTATTCTAGTATAACATCTGGACCCTAGGACTCCAGGTTTGTTTGAGCTATTCTAGTAAAACATCTGGACCCTAGGACTCCAGGTTTGTTTGAGCTATTCTAGTATAACATCTGGACCCTAGGACTCCAGGTTTTGTTTGAGCTATTCTAGTAAAACATCTGGACCCTAGGACTCCAGGTTTGTTTACAGCTATTCTAGTATAACATCTGGACCCTAGGACTCCAGGTTTGTTTACAGCTATTCTGGTAAAACATCTGGACCCTAGGACTCCAGGTTTGTTTACAGCTATTCTAGTAAAACATCTACCCGTCCTAGGACTCCAGGTTTGTTTACAGCTATTCTAGTAAAACATCTGGACCTAGGACTCCAGGTTTGTTTACAGCTATTCTAGTATAACATCTGGACCCTAGGACTCCAGGTTTTGTTTCGGGCTATTCTAGTAAATCATCTACCCCTCTCTAGGACTCCAGATTTTGTTTGAGCTATTCTCGTAAAACATCTACTCCACTCTAGGACTCCAGATTTTGTTTGAGCTATTCTCGTAAAAGATCTACCCACCCGAGGACTCCAGGTTTGTTTACAGCTATTCTAGTATAACATCTGGACCCTAGGACTCCAGGTTTGTTTACAGCTATTCTAGTATAACATCTGGACCCTAGGACTCCAGGTTTGTTTACAGCTATTCTAGTAAAACATCTGGACCCTAGGACTCCAGGTTTGTTTACAGCTATTCTAGTAAAACATCTACCCGTCCTAGGACTCCAGGTTTGTTTACAGCTATTCTAGTAAAACATCTGGACCTAGGACTCCAGGTTTGTTTACAGCTATTCTAGTATAACATCTGGACCCTAGGACTCCAGGTTTTGTTTCGGGCTATTCTAGTAAATCATCTACCCCTCTCTAGGACTCCAGATTTTGTTTGAGCTATTCTCGTAAAACATCTACTCCACTCTAGGACTCCAGATTTTGTTTGAGCTATTCTCGTAAAAGATCTACCCACCCGAGGACTCCAGGTTTGTTTACAGCTATTCAAGTAAAACATCTTCCCAAACAAAGGACTTCAAATTTTGTATATGGATACATTCATCCATAGAACTAAACAGATAATTTTCTTAGAGGTAATTATATAATTGACAATAAACTGAACCATGGATAGAAGAGATTTATTTTTGAGTCCTGAGGTTAATCAGATGTTTTAGTAGATTAGCCCTCGGCAGAAAGGTTTGGTCCACAATAGCCTGAGAATGGAATTCCTACAGAAATACTTACACTCATGAGAATTGTTGGCAGTGAGATGTTTGAAGACACTAGTTAGGCCTGTGACGAGTCTCACATACTGATGTTCCACAAGGAATCGGTGATCTGAGAATCGATCATCCTTCTGGTACAGCGTATGTAACAACAGTACTCCTTGGCTCAATGGTACTAGAAGGTTGTTTTCTTCCTCACATTTAGATCCATCTTTCTCTCTCTCCTCATACAATAAAAGGAGGCGATGCAACACCACAACCACTGTCCGAATAACCTGACAAATCAACAACATTTACTACATTTTGTGCATTTTTATCCATTCCAACAGTATATAGTAATATAGTAATATGTTATATACATTACAAGGAACTCTAGTGAATACCACATAGCTGCTTTCTTAAACTTCAAGAGTGTTGGTTCTCTCATCTTATCATGTTTCTCAGTATATAGTAATGTGAAATTTACAAATTTGGTTGCCGTCTCCTTTGCGCTGAATTAGAAAAAATATGAAAACAATATCACACAAACCTGTACACTGCACCGACAGTCACTCTGTAGAAGGAGAACTGCACCTCCTTTGTGAACACTGATGATGTTGTAAAGACAGTGGAACAGCTAGAAAACATCCACATATACTGTAAACATACATATTTTAGTGGAAATCTTATTTTAGCATTTCATGCTGAACGTATTGCACTACAATATAATTGCACTATACAGTTTCTGTATGTAGATTAGATAGCAATTATTATGGTTGAACTAATTTATCATTGCACCACTTTACCAAGAAGTCATGATGCACAAAAAATTTACAATAAATTAATAGCATATTCTTCTACAACTTTTGCTGCTACATCTTAAGTTACTTTCACTTTTTATAGGTTGAATGTTTACTTTTTATTTTCTATTGATATGTTTATCACTATGAGAGTTACAGTTCAAAAAAGATTATTATTGAAAAGTTTACACACATTAATCTATTTTCTGACCAACAGGTGAATGTAGCATTTACCTACCCATACATAGAGTACAAGATTCACTTTTCTAGTGGTAATACAAGTACAAGTTTTTACTAGAGTTGAAAATTCCGTAAAGTGTAACATGCATAGGTGAAAATTTACCCTTTTTAGCAAGAAAGAAAAGCATTAATTAGAATTGAAACCAAAAGAACCATCTCTAAATCATATATGTCTGTAAGTATGCACAGCTTCATTAACCTGATGTCCTAGGCTAGAAACTTCTGTCTCAGGCATAAGGAAAGTTGCTATTGAGTGGGTTGTTTAGGAAATAAAAGGCAAAAATTGCCAATGACTTTTTTTATTCCAGATCTACTTTAAAGCTTAAAAAGAAATGGTAAACTCTTTGTCTTCCTCTCACACAAATGTGAAACAGATATACTCACTTGTGTACTTGTCTGCAGCCGATATTCTGAAGAGACCTCATCCACAGGACCAATACACACATTGTACAAAAGACACAAAAGACAGCCATCAGGCCCTACATACAGGCTAGACACAAAGGAGTTAAATTTGACCAGAGTAGTCAACAGCTTCAGTCCACGAATCACCACAGACTTGTCATTGTCACACTCTAAACAATTGGCTAACACACTATTGTGAAGCAATGGCAGTAACCTGCAACCAATAAAATTCATTTGATATGCGAAACAATTGTACGCGATATGGAAACACTTTTACAGTGATTTACACAGGTTCCAAATCTTATTACATATAGTTAAATGTTTCAATGGCAGAAGTTGGAAATTAGAGGTAAAATCATATCATGTCCTGCACTGGCTGGGGCTTGAACCAGTGACCAATCAGTTGTAGATGACCCTCATAATGACTTACTGTTGGACCTGGTCCTCTTCCAGGTGTGTGGCTAGCACTATCAGAATGTCTAAAGCTCTCTCTACAATATGGACATTATATCTGTGTACCTAAAACACCAAAACATAAAAACACACTGGTAGTTAAAGAATCACTTACGACCCTAATCTGAGTTACTTTGACAAATACAAACCAATTCCTCATAAGATTTAAGTGATAGATTTAAACAATTTTCAGTTGATTCGTCTTACAAAGTCTTCTGATAACCACCCTTAAGTTGTGTTGATTTGTCTGCAGAATGTCCCACGAGTCCCATGAGTGGATCAGTCTACAGACTCTAATCTATATACAATGCTGTTGTTCTTACATACCCCCTGCCCTGGGTTTGCCAGGCTAAAGATTTTTCTTAATAAGTAAATGTCTTCAACATATTGGTGAATGCCAGATCCTTGTGACCTTGAACAGGACCCAGATGAGGAAATATCAGTATCATGGTTGCTACCATCATCTCCACCATGTCTGTGTTTAGCCATCTGAAAATAAGAATTCAGAAGGAAACATTAGGTAGCATAGTCAATTGTGTGTAACATTACTACATACGAACAGCAGCTGTTAGATAAAATCTAAAAATTTTGTCAGTACAATACTGAAAACATTTGTCAAAGGCTTCTTTCACCCTCACTTGAAACTGTTCACTTTCACCAAAAAATTACATTCCTGCTTTAACATCAATCTTCAGTGCAACTTTTATTTTTGCATTTATTGAAGTGGATGAAACAGGTGAAAATTGAACTGTGGCAAGCACTTACTGGTACACAGTAGTGTGCCAGTCATGTCTAACAGTCACAGAGTTGGCCCAGACAAGAATGTATTAAAAGACCCAAACCAGATTCACAATATTTCTTCTTTAATTTGAGGGGGAAACATAATAAGAGATATGACTTTTAGATTTGTTTTTTGTCACAGCCTTGTAATGTTGAATGTCTGTCTGGGGATTAACTTTTAATAGATACTGCAAAATAATCATATAATATGTTTCAGCCAACTTTCATTTATTTCCACATGTACCTGTAAATGAACTACTGTAATTTTCTTCTGTCAATAGTTACATTCACGAGAACGCTTCAGGTATTTGTATTTTCATTAAATAGCATTACGGTATCTGTACCTTTACTGATGCTGTGTCTGTATGTACTGAAGATATGCTGTCTTAGGTGTACGTACCTGTCCATTTGTAGCGTCATGTACACTTGTGGTTGCATTAGATTCTGGTGATTCAAACAAAACCGCACGGACACTTGGGCAGTAAGAGACGAGTCTGTGAAGGATGGATAGAGCTGCGAGTGCAAGAGCCTCCAGATTGTTAGCAAAAAGAGCAGAGTCTCGGAGAAGGAGGGACAGGGAACTGCTGAGTGATTCCACTGAGCTGTCTAGACTACTGCTACCTCGGGAGGATGGAGGGCTCTGTGGGCTGACTTCTACGGCACAAGTCAGTAGGTCCTGGTAGTGGCCGAGGTAGTCAGCCAGCAGAGGCAGCAGTAACACTGCACCATAGTCAGTAGGAATGTCTTGGTCAGTGGAGACCTTCTCTTTGTTTCTTGTTACTAGGGATGTGTCTGCCAAATGTTTCTTAGGATCAGCATCTGACTTCGCAGCATTTCTTAACACATTGACACTAACTTTGTCTATAAAATTGTCACCACTTTGCCGGTTGTGTAACAATGTCTGCATGCCTTGAAGTGCTAAAGTACGATGTTCAGAGGATCCAACAGAAACCCACTTTTTTGGTGAAACCTTAGGGTCAAAAGGCCTGAAAATAGATAATAGAGGAACAATTTCCAGTCTTTCTGGAAAAGACATGTTAGATATATAACAAAGGATCTTGCTGACAACAAAGGAAAAGTTTTAAAATTTTGGTGGTATTCTTTTTTTTTTAAATTCCCACTGTAATTAGACAAGACTCTTCAATATTGGTCTTACCATTTTGAAATAAAACTAATTGAAATTCTTACACCACCATAAGCCTATGAGTATAACTGACCATAACCAAATCAGAACCTAACCTGCATATCAACAGCAGTATATATAACTATATATCAAAATACAGCTCTCTAACTGTGTCTGTTTAGGTACATGTAACTAAGTGGGATCCTAATTATGGTGGAATTACAGGCAAATGGGCAAGAGTAACAATATGCTCACGACCATGAAATCTGATTGGTATTGATTTGAGAGTATTTCCAAAATCATGTGCAGATATCAGTTGGTAGGGCAGTGTCTAGTCAAGTACATTCTATACATATATCTAAAATAAAAATTCCTTATGTCTGAAATTAATCCAATCAAATAGCAATCTATAATCCTGGATTTTGTAGTGACATAATTCATGGGTTCAGAGAATATAAAATGAAACCCTTGGATTTTTCAGGCAATGCTTTAACATAGAGAACAGGACATCACTGTGATGTTTATTAGCAGGGTTTTGTACCAAGCTATTTCTTGGTGCAGGGGTACAACACACAAGAAGATTATACCTTTGTCTGTTAGGCAGAGGAGACAAAATGCTACTACTGTTGTCGCGGTCAAAGTGGAGACGTTGAAGATCACAGTTTCCTGTGTGCATGTGCAACAATCCCACAATGCCCTGATCCACACCTCCACCACAGGGAGATGCCTCCAGAAGACTGGACACAAGCTGAGGTCCACTCAACACCCCTGTGGAAAGAACAAAAACACCAAATAGGACTTCATTCATTTTCTGCTGTTAACATTTATGTATATTACATACCTATATCCATTTTGATCAAGGACGAGTATGGTTTCATATCTCTAGCCATGATTTGATATCGAAGATGAACAAAGATGTATATTCGCATAAGGTATGGTAAATGACAATATTTCAGTATATGGTATTTCAAGATTCTAATATGAAGTATGTGGGATAGCATTCAAGATCAACTTATACAAAGTGATATATGGTGAAGAAAGGGCAATAACTGTACATATAAAGGAGAACAAGACAGTTTAAAACCAATACTTTAGTTCCTTCTACCATCTCCAGAGTTATGTGCTTTCAAAATTTGACAGAGTACAGTGGAAAGTACTCAAAATACGTCCTAGAAGTTTAAATGAGATAGACTGATACATAAACAGAATACAGATCTATATTCCACTTTAAGCTAGCCGGAGGATTAAAATACTGGCGGAGGTTTATAATATTCTAATCAACTAGCATAGGTCTACTCCTGGGATCTGTGAAACATTGACCAGATTATATCACACTGAAAGCTCCAATGGAAGAGATTAAGATTTAAACAAGAGATCCCAGAGGATCTTGGCACCCACCATTTGAGGATCTGTTTTCAGTTCTTGAAGATTTGTTTATTTTTTTTGGTTTGTTACAGGTGTTGTAAATGTTCATGAACTGGTCTTCATTGAATGTACTCAATGATGGCACAAGATATTTTTATTAAGCACCTATTAGCAAATATCATTTGAAAAAGATCCCAAAGTATTATTAGATAGCAGTCAGTTACAGGTGGATAATGGACAATATGCTTGTGCTGTATTATTGTCGACATCCAAGATGGCTGCCTGTGGGCCACCTTGATTTCAAATCAGTCCAAAAAAGGTACAATGCACAACTAGGGACCAAGGGAAACCAATATCTATGAAATATCTGAAGGATCCATCCAGTACTTCCTCAGATATAGCAGTAACAAGATTTTACTCTCAAAATCCAAGATGGCTGCCATTAAGCCATCTTGAATTCGGATCTGTCCAAAAAGGTACAATGCACAACTAGGGACCAAGGGGAAACTGCATATGAAATTTAAGAAAGATCCATCCAGTACTTTCCAAGAAATAGCGGTAACAAACTTTTACATCTAAAATCCAAGATGGCAATCTGTCGGTCATCTTGAATTCGAATCCGTTCAAAAAAGGTATAATGCACAACTAGGGACAAAGGGGAAACTGCATATGAAATTTGAGAAAGATCCATCCAGTACTTTCCAAGAAATAGCGGTAACAAACTTTTACATCCAAAATCCATCTGTCTGCCATCTTGAATTCGAATCAGTCCAAAAAAGGTACAATGCACAACTAGGAACCAAGGGGAAATTGCATATGAAATTTGAGAAAGATCCATCCAGTACTTTCCAAGAAATAGCGGTAACAAACTTTTACTTCCAAAATCCAAGATGTCCACCTGTCAGCCATCTTGAATTCGAATCAGTCCAAAAAAGGTACAATGCACAACTAGGGACCAAGGGGAAATTGCATATGAAATTTAAGAAAGATCCATCCAGTACTTTCCAAGAAATAGCGGTAACAAACTTTTACTTCCAAAATCCAAGATGGCCAACTGTCGGCCATCTTGAATTTGAATCAGTCCAAAAAAGGTACAATGCACAACTAGGGACTGAGGGGAAACTGCATATGAAATTTGAGAAAGATCCATCCAGTACTTTCCAAGAAATAGTGGTAACAAACTTTTACTTCCAAAATCAAAGATGGCCAACTGTCGGCCATCTTGAAATCGAATCAATCCAAAAAAGGTACAATGCACAACTAGGGACTGAGGGGAAACTGCATATGAAATTTGAGAAAGATCCATCCAGTACTTTCCAAGAAATAGCGGTAACAAACTTTTACTTCCAAAATCAAAGATGGCCAACTGTCGGCCATCTTGAAATCGAATCAATCCAAAAAAGGTACAATGCACAACTAGGGACCAAGGGGAACCTGCATATGAAATTTGAGAAAGATCCATCCTGTACTTTTCCAGAAATAGCGGTAACAAGAATTGTTTACGGAAGCCTGGACGGACGGACGGACCACGGACGCAGGGCGATTTGAATACCCCACCATCTGATGATGGTGGGCTAAAAATTTAAAATAAATGTAGAGTTTGTTTTTCTAGTCAAGAAACAGACTCAGGTTTTTTCTTTTATAATTGTTATTATTTCACAGCATTTTTACAATTTTATTTCTTTTTTGAAGACATTCAAAAATACAAATCCTCTGAAATAACAATCATAACATATTCTATGATAACAATAAGCTGCAGTTTCTCCAGCAAACACAAGTCATATAATCTCATTATTTCAGGAATCTTCCAAAGTAGCATTGATGTTTTACTGGCATGTACATACCTGTAGGGTGATCAGCTGTAGATAGAAATAGTCTTCGCCTTAGATACCTTGTGACAGGAGATGGACTAGTAGACCTAGGTGTGGCTACAGGTGGGTAAACTCCCACAGTACAAGTACCTAAAAATAAAAACATCACATTCGAAGGAGATCTACATTACAGAAATAATGTTTCACCTAGTTTTGCATATTCATGATTAATATACCAAAAATAACAAGACTGCATAAAATCCTGATATCTAATACAACAATGATATATGAACTAAAATCATACACACAAGAACAATATGGAAACATTATGGTGTCATGTTTAAATATTGATGTACTCTTAAGTATGAAACAATTTTTTTTCATTATTTTTATTTTCAAATTTCAAAATTCACTCAAATACAACATTTATACTGCGAAATATTATTCTTCTGAAGGAGGGAGAAGAAAACTCATAATATTTTGTAGTATTTTACATTATATTGTATTTCATTAAAATATGACTATAAACTAATTCGAAAAGAACAAGCCACAAAGACTGGAAATTTAAGTTTTTGTCTTCATGCAGTCTATGAAATTTCAGGAAAATCATAAAATTGATGGAAACAAAATTTGGTTAGCAACAAGTACATACTACATATGTACAGAGATTCATGCATATGAGCGTATCCCTAAATTCACTCACAAAATTTGTTGCACTTACATTAGACAAACTGAAGTTACTACATGTATTAAGTATTGATTGTGAAAAGGGATATTGTTTATCAGTACCTTACCAATATCTTTTGTATTCTTGTTTTCTTTTTGAAGCACTGACAGCTGTGATTTTGCCTTAGGTGAGCGGTCATCAGCCATAAAACTGTGTTGAGTTGGAAAGCCGACATTACCTACTGGAGAGTGAGACCTGTTTCTGTGTGGCTTAGGACTATGTTGAGGGACGATAACTTTTCTAGGACTACTGCTTATATAACCTCCCTCCGCTGACTGCTGTCTTGCCTCAAAGCTACGACAACGTTCTTGCAGTTCTGTTATATCCCTATCTTTAAATTGCAGCTGAGTGTTGAGTCGATCTACACTGGCTTGAAGATATTTTTCATGCTCACTCTGTTCTCTTTGTTGCTGGTTTATTGCTTGCATTTTCTCCTTCTTTGCCTGAGTGATCTCCCCTTCTTTCTTTTGTAAGGTATCACGTAGAATCTTTATCTCTCCGTCTTTTTGGAAAAGTTCTTTCTTTATTTCTTGCATCTAAATACAAAATAATTAGAATCCATAAGCTAAATAAATAAACTCTGTACATAGAATCTGTCAGTTAATAAAATAAATTTTATAATCAAAATCTTTAAGTTAATTAAATAAATTCATAATTAGAATCTATAAGCTGATTAGGTAAATTTCATAAATTATATAATCAGAATATTAATTGAATTGAATAAAAGGTTCAAAATCTTCTTAGTAGATTTGAAGTTTTGTAAGATGCATATATATCTATAATGCGCTATTTCCATAACTCCCATAATATCAATGCAGTAGTAAACACAATCATAAAATACTATAATGTACCATGATTTATTGCAATTAGCAAGGGAGATAACTCTAAGGAAAAGTTTGACAAATATTGGAAAAAATGGGAAAAACTTATTGCATCATAAAATTATACTTTACTTGTTCCCCAGCTTTGACTAATTAGTTGACTTCAGTTAACCCTATGTTTATCCTCATATTATATTATCAGTTATCCATCCCCCCACTCTTTCTCTCTCACACATAAGTCACAACATAAATGTATGCAAATGTTTGTAAACTATTTCTAAATATGCTATAAGTGATAAGTGATTATACATTTAAAAGGTATGTATGTCTACTGATTATGGTTTAAGCATGAATGCAAGGTGAAATGCTTTTGATATAGATGTATTAGTTTTAATCAGTGCTATTATGTATGTATGATGTATATTTATTACTAGTATGTGTGGTTAGTATGGTATGTGTGGTGTATATTTAATACTAGTATGCATGTGGATTGTTTTGTATGTGTGTGGTGTATACTTAATATTGATGTATAATCTGTTATGTATGTGAAGAACAAGAGGTCAACACAATTTGCCATCATTTGAAGATTTATGATGGACAATGTATCGCTATGTGTTTGTGATGGTAAATCTGAATAAAAAATATAAGTTACAAAAAAAAATCAATTGAATAAATTTTAAACAAGAATAGGCATTATAATATTTTTAGAAATTGAAGCAGACAACATTGTATCCAGCAACATGAACAATACCTATATTTTAATGTCAATGTAACTTTTTGAACTGACTCATTGTGTTCCTGACCTGAAATGTTGACAGAGATACATTGTACAATTACAGGTACATACTAATAAAACACTGCTTTCTCTTTTATCATGAAATTAACAAGACTGTCCTAAAAGGAAATTGTACCTTTGATCCATGTCAAGGATATTGTAAAGAGAAGTATTCCTTCATGTTTAATCTTGAACATTTTTTTATAAAACCCAACTGCAAATTAACCCTCAACTTTGCCTTGACTCTGAAAACAGGTAGTAGAATGTCCTCCAAGGCATTGTTTTACAGCTAATAATTCATCTCAAAGCTATTTTGACCTGTGATCCTTAATATGGTTACATATTATTATGATTTTGTGAAGGGAAACAAGATATGCCCAGTTCTCTAGGCAATGATTTTTTTCCACAGAATCATTTACCTCTTTGAACATTTACTCCAAGACCCAACACATTTGATTCTAGCATGAAGTAGGAAAACTTTGCTAAGTATGATTATGTTCCATAAGGTGATTTTCTATGAATTGTTGACAATTTATTTCATGTCCTGAATTAGTATTAAATGTTACTCTGTTAAGGTGACCAGCTCCAGTGGTCTAGCGAGAAACTTGTGATTTTCACTACCGGGGTAATTTGTTAAAGTTATTCCCTTTAGACAGATTGTTGGACAGTCTTCTGGCAGTAAAGTGGGGGAGGGGGTAAGAAAAAGCCTCTGATTTTAGCAAACATGGTTGCAACTGTCCCATCTATTGGAACACTTATTTAGAACACTAATTTCCACATTTTCAAGTCAAAATGACGGCCTCATTAAGACTTTGCAGCAGAGAATCTAATACCTGTCTAATCTCCAACACTTGACATTGAAGAAAAAAATATTTGTCAATCCAGACCACTCCTAACACAATATCATGAACAATTTGGTGAAAATCATTATTTTGCTGGAATTGGGTCGCTTTGTTTCACAGATGGAGTTTGTTACCTTGATTATAGAATGAGAGCATCAATGTACGAGGCCAGTACCTACACTTTGAATATCGATAAGAGTCATCCCCTTATGAAGGAGAAAAATATATCATCCACGATAGGGGTAACTACGACACATATAAAATAAATCCTGATGAATAATACTTATAACAACCAATAAGTCAAGGATACCATATCTTTTTTTACTTTGTTGGCAATAACTACTTACTTGGAAAATGAATTTAATTTTCTTATTGAAACAGGAAAGAAATTAATCAAAAAGAAAAGAAAAAGCCTTGTCAATAACTCAATTTTGAAATCACCAATATAATCTTCATTCATTGTGGCTTATACATAACTGTACACTGATGTTGTGGTATCTTTACACTGGGACACTTAAGTGTACATATCTAGACATATACCTCACCTCAGTTGGCTCTGCATTTATGTCCGTGCTATCCCTTCTGTGTCTAACCATATCTCCATGGAAGCTTCTTGTGGAAACTTCAAGGGACTGAGAGTCTAAATTGGCTGAAGATGTGGTGTTTGACTTCCTTGATAACTGGCCATGGCCTACAACCATCTCTACAGAGGAATCTACAAAAAGTCACTTTATATGAGGAAAAAATGGAAGTTAAAAGCTTTTATTGAAAACTTCTGCAATAATCCAATTTGTCTGTTAGGAATTCAGGTCTATGATCAATATAATACATACTGAAGCACAAATACACATAAATTGATAATTTCATATCCTACATGATTTGATAGAAAAGTTAAAAAAAAAGAAAAGAAGTCAAATTAATCAGGAAATTAAGATAACTTAGTCAAACATTAAATATTATATCTGGCATGTACTCCACTAAGGGACCAGTGTTATCCTGGTCATCAATGCAACGGTCACCTATATATGGTTATCTACTCACCAGATCGCAGGCTAGATGAGCTTTGGTGGCTACCTGCTGATCTAGGTGTAACTGGATATGAACTTGATGAGGAATAAGAAGACATTGAATTGTTCCTTGATGATAAAGACAAGGATGTATTCCGTGAAGAAGATGAAGAATTGTTGCTGGAAATATTTTGTGGTTTCACAAAAGACCCTTGGCTACCTGTGGGCAATGGTACAGCAGGTGATTTGTGTGGTGGAGGCCTTGGACTGTTTTGGTCAGCACAAACTATTGCTTCCTTTGTTATTTTCCTGACCTGAGCAATGCTGCTTGTTTGGGGCTGTGTTATTGCTTGTGACGCCATTGTGTCTATGTGCTCTAGCTCTGCTTGAGTCAACTGTAGGTCAAAATCATCATCATCCCATTCATCTTGTTCAGTTGCCTCCCCTTGATATCCCTCGTCAGTTTTCCTTCGTTTGGAAGGTGGATGTCGCTCCATGTCCAATCTGAAGCAACTAACTGTTGTCTCCGATATTTGATTGGATCCTGAAAATACCTCACCGGCCCTGCATTCAATGAAAGTTTTATCCACTTTATTTTTCTTCGGATTGATGGAGAATTGTCTCCCTTTCATACAGGAAAAGAATGGCTTTAAGGCCATTAATCAAAATTTCAATCTTTAAACATTTGTATATCCTATACATTCTTTTTTATAAAGAATAAATACGTCATGGCGAACACCAGTTAATTTGAAGCGAACTCGTGAATTATGAACACAATACGTATACGGCTACCTAACAACATATATACACAGTCATGTTGTAGGTCCTTTTATGCATGTTAACATGCATAATAACTCATGAATGTCTTATTGGTAAATAACAGCATTTCATGGTTTCACATGTCTTATACAAATATGTAACAATTCTTTGATGCTCAGAAACGAAACTGTCCGAATCGAAGTGTAAAATTTTCTTTTACATTTACCGCCATTTAGACTGTTGCACACTGGGAAAATAAACGCATCGGGATCATTGGAGTGTTTATCATCAAGCTTATGACGGCTGAGAGCTTAAAGCAACATTGGTGAGGTCTCTCTCAGTAGAATGGCGACCTTACTCAGGACAGTCGCGAGAGCAAAACATTTACTTGCTGTTTCTCGCCATACTAGGAAGATTGTCCAGCCATCGTGTTTGATTTCAACATCGAAGAAAAACAAAGAGGAAATAAGTGCAACGGTCGAAAATGTCAGCAGTAAAGAGGAAGAACTAAGGCAGTTGGAAGAGCACTTTGCAAATCAGGATCCGAATTCACCCAAGGTTATTTTCACGTATCCGAAATCCTATTATTGGTCACATTCAGCAATGCCTGTATTGATGTATGGTGTTTTATTAGCTTTGTAAGGGACGTACAACGAGATTGTTAATTGAATTATTCATGTTGTACATCCCAGTTTTGCATACATTAAATATGTATACACCACATGTACATTACACACAGGAGTCAGACTTTATATGTATGTGAAGTGTATTGATGTATTTTAACGTACTAAAGTAGCAGGAATTATAAATTATACGAGCCAGGCAGTCCATGGAAATAGCTCGTGCCAAAATGGTATTACGTTGATAAAATTATCAACAAAAATAAGGCAAACAGAAATTTTGGTTAACTCTCGGTTAAACTGGTTAAAAGAAATGAAGATAATTTGGCATGCTATAGTGAATGAGCAATGAGGGAATCACGATGTCTGGTATGCTAGTGAATATGTTGTGATTTCATGATATCGGCATTGTTCTCTGGATACTTAGTGTAAAATCATCTTCATGTTAAGTAACACAGAGTCAAGCTTCAAATAGTGCAAAGCACCTAAGCTTCATGCCTTTTCAATTCCACAATAATTTTTCTCTTTTGCATCAATCACTGTTGTGTATCCTCTAGACATTTGATTTCTGTGATATACACTCGGTTACACTGTACACTGTCATCATATCAAGGTTATAATTATAGTCTAGTCAGGCTACTCTGGGCAGTGCTAGACTGTAATTACCACAACTGGCCCATTCATATCAAATTCTTTTTATATATCAGGATTTTTTCAACTCAGTTGTGAAAGGGCTCATTTTATCTCTTTTTGGAAAGAAAATTTATCAGCTGTGAAGAAACTTTAAGGAGTAAACTATATTTTGGAAATTTGGTCATAATAATAAATAAATCCATTGTGAATGCTGAAGGCCCATATTCAGCCCTGCATAGCCTCTAGAAATCAAGCTAGCCCTGATTACTTTTGTATGTATTACATTTTAGTTTTATTATTACATCAATCTATGTTTGAAATCCGACCAAGATGTAGGTTACTGTTTCCTTCACTTTTTATTGGGTAGAAGTTCTGAATATCATTGATGAGTTTCCTTTTTAACATAATAACAATGACAAAGACCCTGTCAATATATGGTCACGATATGTTCTCATAGGGTCCTGGATGGCAATGTTATTTGTTAAAAGAACTTGTTTATGATATTTACTACTTAAGGTCATAGAATCAAGTTTGGTTAATGCACTGAGGATCAAGCCAATTAGCATAAAAATTTTCAAAAAAATTACCTTGGCCACTATTCAAAGTTAAAGTGGTCAAATTTGTTGAAAGTTATGAAACCACTTTTTCTGTCTGAAACTCTAACCAAAACAGAAGCATGTGTTCATTTTTATATTCCCATTATCAATATGTTCAAGGTCATATAAAATTTTTGTAACATGATGAAAAATTCTTGACTGATTGGCTTATCAAATAGCTATTTACCAGGGTATATACTGTTAGTAGCAACTTTCAGCTGTGTATCACCAGCTTATTGGCTGTGTCTTTACTTCAACACATGTAAAGCCTCATGTTAGGCTTTTCATAACAGTTGAAATTATCTTTGTCTTGATCTGTCACTGCAATATTGACATCACAAACAGCATTTAATGATTGATTGTAGTCATCATCATCCATCAAACCAATAATGATAAATGTCTCAGTTTCTTTTTTTGTATGGGCTAATCATGATAAGGGTTTTAGTGAGGTTGATAATGGGCCTCATTTCCAATTGAAATTATGTGATGTTGAAGCCAAATTCCTCAAATTTCTTCCAAATCCAGTTCACAAATTTTCATCATATTCCAGCCATCCTCCCCCATCCCCCACAAAATTTTTTTTTAAAAACACACACATGGAAAGTGGTTACTGTGACTTTTTATTTATAATTATTACTCTAACCATTGTTTATTTTCAGAATTATGTTTCCTATGGCTGGAGTACATATGACCAGGAATATGACCAATTCAGTCACAACATGGTATTATTCACTGGTATAACTCTGATGGTGATTATGGTTTTCTTCCTCTCCTACTGCCCTGATCATAAGTAAGTATTCTCAAGACTATTTCAGGGTACAGAAATAGATATATGAATGTAAAGTGTACATGTTAATCTTGAGAATTTTAAATGCTCTTTAATTCCAAGAAATTTAAAAAGTGCAGGTTTTGGAACATATCTCGTTTGAGGTTTCAAATTTATACATTCTCACACTTTGTGTATGTATTTGTTAGATCATCTCATTATCAGGCAAATTAGAATGTCATAAAAGCCCTTATATAATTATACAAATGTCAAAATCCAGGATTGTAGCTGATCTGATACCTGTATATTTTAAGCATTTTTCCTTATAACATGTAAAGCAATATCTACCTCCAATATGGTAGGGCTGTATTTTTAGTTCACAATCTCTATCAAGGGTACTGTAAAATATGCTCCGTTGGAAAATCTAAAATTTTCACTGTAAATATTGTGATTGGTCAAAAGTTATTAGAAATATATAAACTTGATATAATCACTCTGATGCCAAAAGTGATATAAAACATTAGATATGGATAATAAAAATGCAGCTTGTGACTCAACTAGCAGAACCTGTGCAGGCTTGCTGAAAATAACAGTCCAAAACCTCACAGTTGAATGAAACAATTCTGTGCTGCATTTTTGGATCTGCCCAAAGCACATGGGCAGAGGTCTTAGGAAAATGTTATCTTTGTTAATTATATATTATCTCAGAGGGTGTGTGCTTTGATTCTGATTGATATTTTTTAGGTTACTATTGAACTTTAAGACAAAATGGCCATTTTCTCATTCACTATCAAACTATGAAATCAAATGTCATGTTATGACTCAAATATTTTAATTACAATCTTATGTGAAAATGTTTCATTAAATTAAATTTCTAAAAACCACACCATGTTCATACTCACATACTCTGAGCAGGTTTAAGTGTCTCTGATTGTTCTTTATTAGCCCTGTACAATAATTATCCTCTGAGCAGGTTTAAGTGTCTCTGATTGTTCTTTATTAGCCCTGTACAATAATTATCCTCTGAGCAGGTTTAAGTGTCTCTGATTGTTCTTTATTAGCCCTGTACAATAATTATCCTCTGAGCAGGTTTAAATGTCTCTGATTGTTCTTTATTAGCCCTGTACAATAATTATCCTCTGAGCAGGTTTGTGTCTCTGATTGTTCTTTATTAGCCCTGTACAATAATTATCCTCTGAGCAGGTTTAAGTGTCTCTGATTGTTCTTTATTAGCCCTGTACAATAATTATCCTCTGAGCAGGTTTAAATGTCTCTGATTGTTCTTTATTAGCCCTGTACAATAATTATCCTCTGAGCAGGTTTAAGTGTCTCTGATTGTTCTTTATTAGCCCTGTACATGTAAGTTTTTCAGAAACAAGAGGTCTAAGTGTTCTTTTTCTGTTACAGATTAAGGAATTGGTCAATGCGAGAAGCACATTTAGAGCTGGCAAGAAGAGAGAAGCTTGGTCTCCCCTTAATTGACCGTAATGTTGTGGATCCCTCCAAGGTCATATTACCTTCTGAGGAGGAATTAGTAGGGGTTAAAATTCGTTTATAAAAAACTCGTAAATTGTACATAGATTGTGTTTTGTAATGGATTATGAGAGATTGATAGAAAGAAAAATAATAAAAGGATAAAATATAAAAGGTGTGTTAAGCTAGTCATCTTGTTCAAAGGCAAGTCAGATTGATGATCGACATATTTCGGGTTATTAATAGAGTAACACAGAAGCATGGTATTTGGCTGACAAGTTCCTAGGATGAATCCTAACAAAGTTTGCGAAAAGAAATTATTTTGACAATTATTCCAGGACACGGGAGTCAAATATGTTAAAATCTTGAAGCAACGTCATCTGACTAATCAAAAGGCACAGAAACATCTTACTTGGGTAATAGATTCTTAGATTGAAGTCAACAAAGTTTGGTGTGGTGAAAAGAAATAATGACCTTGAGCCTTATTCAAGATCACAGGTGTCAAATGTATTAAAACCTTTAAACAACTTCTGACTTACCAATAATGCAGAAGCATGGTATATGGCCGATAGATTTCTAGAATTAAACCAAAAAATATTTGCAAAAGAAAAAAAAAATAATCATTGGTTCTGGGGCCTATAGGGCAGGGCCTAAATGGGAAAGTCTGAAAGTTCTTGAAAATCCTTCCTCTCTGGTAGGAATTAATGGATATTGTCCAAATTTGGCTTGAATCATTCTTAGGTGAAGGGGAATCAATCCTGTAGACATGTACCATCTCGACCCCCTTGGGCAGAAGGGGTGGAGTGAAATTCAGGAAATAGAGTAAAGTTTTAAAAATCTGACTCCTTCTGTAGGAATGGATGGATATTGCCAAAATTTGGTCTGAAGTATTCCTGGGTGAAGGGAAATCAGTTCTGTGTAAATGGTGCATCCTGGCCCATTTGAACAGGAAGAGTTGTGCCCAAATGGGGAAATGTAAGTTGTTAAAAATCCTCTTTTCTATGCAAGGATATTGTCCAAGTTTGGTCTTAAGCAATTTTTATGAATAATGAATCTTGACTTCTGTTTGACTAGAAGGCAGGGACCAAATAGGGAAATTATTTTAGAAATTATTTTTCATATTTGAAATTCCTTTTTAAATGACTGAATAGTTAAATTAGCAAGGTGAGTGATGCAGGCCCCTTTGGCTCCTTTTCTGTATTTCTGTACTACCCCTTTAAGTAGCTCTATTTGTGTTTTATACTCCACTTCTTTCTATTGATATTAGCTTGATAAATATCGGGTGTGGACTTGTAGTGAAGATAATATGTATAAGTATGGATAAAGGGTTATAAGGACCCTTTGGTGGAATGAAGTCTATGGAGACTGAGCACTAAAGAGGATCACAGTCTATTTTCAAATTCTGTAAGGATGAAAAAAAACTTTTCCGTTAGATCTTTCTGCAAAAGTCAGAAGTGCAGATACATAGGATCTTTAATTTGACCCTACCATGATATACATGTATATATATCTTTATATTTATATACAGGAGTTCAAAATAAAATCTGGATGTCAGTTAAATATTGAAAAATAAATTCTATCCTTTTCTTTTGTATATAATTGTATATGATTCACTCACCTGGTCTAAAGGACCTAAGAGCTTTTTTATGACATGGGGTCCATAGCCCAATATCTGGCATCCACCAACTTTTTACTAAAAATAGCTACAAGTCATTAAGGCTGAATAGATTTCACCAAAATTGGTCAGAAGCATCATTGGGAGAAGGGGAACCAAGTTGTATAATTCTTGGTTTTTGGCTTGAGGGATGGGGCCCAACAGGAAAATTTTACTTTTCCTGTAGGAATTAATGGATATTGACCAAATTTGGTCTGAAGTACTCTTGGGTGAAGGGGAATCAATAAGGTATCAACCCTTGTAGGCTGAAAGGGTTGAACCCAATTGGTGAAATAAAGTAAATTCTGAAAAGTTCCACTCCTCATGTAGGAAAGAATGAATACTGCCCAACTTTGGTCTGAAGCTTTCTTGGCTGAAGGGGAATCAGTCTTGTATACACATGAGGTCTCAGCCCCATTGGACTTGAGTGATGGGACCCAATACAGTAAGTTCTTAAAAAAATTTATTCTTCTAGGAATGAATGGATTTTCCCCAAATTTGCTCTGAAGTATTCTTTGGTGAACAGTAATCAACCTTGTATAGACGTAACATCTCTGCTCCCAGGGATGGGAGATGCGGGACCCAGTATGGGAAATAAGTAAAGAAAAATAAGCAAAATGCTCGCTAGTGTTTTAAATTCTAAACACTCATAAATCAAGTATGATAGGGAAGCTTATGCCAGATCCTTGGACAGTTTCCCAGTGGCTTTGCACTGTCTGGGTCTCAATGTGTGTTTTGCACTGAGTATACTTTCTCTTTCTTGGAGCTTTCCAGCTGACCTGAACGCTTTTCTCATCTCTCATCTGACATTCTTGGCAAGTTGGCCCTCGCTTTCCGTGGTGTAATAGTAATCTCTGTGGCTGTGTTTCCTTGACTCCTTCACTCCCTCTCAAGTCAAGGGTCTTGGTTGTAAAGTGACTCATCAGCAAAGTGATATCCAATACTGTGACTTTCCTCCTGTTCCTGACTGGTAACCTCATCCGTCCCCAGAAGAATCGCCTGTGTGTTGCTTTTGCGTACCTGCTGAGCAACCCTGTCTGGTGAATATTCTTGCATACTTTCCCACAAGGACATGTTGTGGTGTAGACACCTTAAGTAAATTTCAACAGCAACATTCGACTTTGGGGTCTTGTTCACGCATTCGTGCCATGCCTGTGTTCGTTTCCGTTAAATCCGAACCTCTCATCCTTCTCCTCTCAGGAGACTCTTGGGATGTAGCTCATGTCGTTGCGTTGTAGCAATGTATTGGTGTCCTCTAACAAAAAACAATATGTTGGGGGCTTGCCCACACATGTCCAAGAACCAGTCTATATCTGGTTGCCAGTTTGATATCGAGCATCACAGGTCTTTCCCTGTTGCCATCCAGACTTTCCCAGAAGTCACTGGTTTTCTAGGTGTGCAATATGAACTGACGGATTTCTCTGCTATTGGTAAACCCAACCGTTGCTTCGGATAGGCATTGGCGACGTAGATATCTGGAGACTGCTGTTGACAGCGTCGTCTGGTGGATTCCAACAATGATCGGTTGTTTTCACCCCTATTCCACGATGAACTCTAGTTGGCGGGTCAGCAGTGGTGATCATTCACTGCTCGCTGTTGTCTGGTCTCCAATTTGGCCCATCTCGTTTGCACCATAACCAGCATGATGCTCTCTCTGCCTTCTTGGCTATGGTCGTAATAGTTGCCTTTCGCCGTGCTCCTGTCAGTCCGACTTTCTGGATCAACTTTCATACTGAATGTGCAGGGAACCCTCTGGCGCCGACCTCTATTGAGAACAGCCAGTGCTTCATCCCTTCAGTCTGCACTGCTCTGTTAATTCTTGGTACTTAGCAGTTTTCCGCTCATGCGCCGCGTCGCACCGTTCCTCTCATTGAAGCATCGGCTTCACCAGGATGGTCCACTGGTGCTGTTATGACCATATCACGATGCCTGATCTCAGTGTGGTTTACATAATATCCGGAAAGACGAGATGTCTATTGGGGTCTGCTCTCATTTCCCGGGATGGTGCCTAGCGGAGATTATATTAAATGATGCCAAGGCTATTATATAACTACTTAATTACACGTCATCATCGATTCTTGACAAACAAACATGTAACACCCTTATGTTTTATGTTGTCAATACTACTCCCCGACATGTCGTCACCACAAAGAATTTACAGCTTTCCAGGTGCTTTGTAAGTGTCTCCATGAGAGATTTAAGATATTCTTTTGATTGGGAATCGCTGATCGCTTTGTTAAAACGGACTTTTGAAATCTAAACAGTCGTAAGGAAACCTCCCTACAAATAAATACCTTGTGCTCACTGAGTACATCGGTGATTGGTTGTACTTTGCTTATCGAATTATACTTGATACAGTTGTGCAGGTCAAACGCCATCCTTTATATTGTTAAAACGTAAAAAAAACCAAATAGCAACGGTAGCGAAAGAAATGTCAAACAGTAGTAACTGTAAGTATGGAGATAACAAATAGCAGCAACGGTAACTATGGGGATGACAAATAATAGCAACGATAAATATGGAGATAACAAGCAATAGCCAGGGTAGCTGGAAATAACAAAGAGTAGCAACGGTAACTATAGAGTTGATAAAAAGCAATAGCAAGTGTAACTAGAGAGATACCAAACAAGACATCGGTAACTATTGAGAAAACTAGCAATAACCAAGGTAACTGGAAATAACAAAAAGTAGCAACGGTAACTATAGAGATAACAAACAGTAGCAAAGGTAACTAAGTTGATAACAAGCAATAGCAAGTGTAACTATAGAGATACCAAGCAAGACATCAGTAACTATTGAGAAAACTAGCAATAACCAAGGTAACTGGAGATAACAAAAAGTAGCAACGGTAACTCTTCAGAAAACAAACAGCAGCAACGGTAACTATTGTGATAACAAACGTAACATCGGTATATATAGAGATAACAAGTATTAGCCAATGTAACTGGAAATAACAAAAAGTAGCAACGGTAACTATAGAGATAACATACAGTAGCAACGGTAACTATAGAGATAACATACAGTAGCAACGGTAGTTATAGAAATAACATACGGTAGCAACGGTAACTGTAGAAATAACATACAGTAGCAACGGTAACTGTAGAGATAACAAACAGAAGCAACGGTAACTGTAGAGATAACAAACAGTAGTAACGGTAATTATAGAGATAATGAACATTAGCAACGGTAACTATAGAGATAACAAACAGTAACTATTGAGATAACAAACTTTAGCAACGGTAACCGTAGAGATAACAAACAGTAGCAACGGTAACTGTAGAGATAACTAACAGTAGCAACGGTAACTATAGAGATAATAAACAGTAGCAACGGTAACTATAGAGATAACAAACTTTAGCAACGGTAACCGTAGAGATAACAAAGAGTAGCAACGGTAACTATAGAGATAACAAACAGTAACTATTGAGATAACAAACTTTAGCAACGGTAACTGTAGAGATAACAAACAGTAGCGACGGTAACTGTAGAGATAACTAACAGTAGCAACGGTAACCGTAGAGATAACAAAGAGTAGCAACGGTAACTGTTGAGATAACAAAAAGTAGTAACAATTACTTTAGAGATAACAAACAGTAGTAACGGTAACTGTAGAGATAACATACGGTAGCAACGGTAACTGTAGAGATCACAAACAGTAGCAACGGTAACTGTAGAGATAACAAACAGTAGCAACGGTAACTGTAGAGATAATATACAGTAGCAACGGTAACTGTAGAGATCACAAACAGTAACAACGGTAACTGTAGAGATATCAAACAGTAACAACGGTAACTGTAGAGATAACAAACAGTAACAACGGTAACTGTAGAGATAACAAACAGTAACAACGGTAACTGTAGAGATAACAAACAGTAGCAACGGTAACTGTAGAGATAATATACAGTTACAACGGTAACTGTAGAGATAACAAACAGTAACAACGGTAACTGTAGAGATAACAAACAGTAGCAACGGTAACTGTAGAGATAATATACAGTAGCAACGGTAACTGTAGAGATCACAAACAGTAGCAACGGTAACTGTAGAGATAACAAACAGTAGCAACGGTAACTGTAGAGATAACAAACAGTAACAACGGTAACTGTAGAGATAACAAACAGTAGCAACGGTAACTGTAGAGATAACAAACAGTAACAACGGTAACTGTAGAGATAACAAACAGTAGCAACGGTAACTGTAGAGATAACAAACAGTAACAACGGTAACTGTAGAGATAACAAACAGTAACAACGGTAACTGTAGAGATAACAAACAGTAACAACGGTAACTGTAGAGATCACAAACAGTAACAACGGTAACTGTAGAGATAACAAACAGTAGCAACGGTAACTGTAGAGATAACAAACAGTAGCAACGGTAACTGTAGAGATAACAAACAATAATCAAGGTAACTGTAGAGATAACTAACAGTAGCAACGGTAACTGTAGAGATATTATACAGTAACAACGGTAACTTTAGAGATCACAAACAGTAACAACGGTAACTTTAGAGATAACAAACAGTAACAACGGTAACTGTAGAGATAACAAACAGTAACAACGGTAACTGTAGAGATAACAAACAGTAACAACGGTAACTGTAGAGATAACAAACAGTAACAACGGTAACTGTAGAGATAACAAACAGTAACAACGGTAACTGTAGAGATAACAAACAATAGTCAAGGTAACTATGGAGTTATCAAAAAGTAACTGTAACCAAACCTATCAACATCAGTTATGATGTAAATATAAATGTAATTTAAATTCAGAGTTTAAACACCTGTTATAACATCACCATCAACAGCTCAGCAAGATTTCGACATTTTATTTTCTCAAATTACATGAATTATTTTTTATTTCAATCATGTAATCAATCAATTTGCAATGTCTTTGACTTCAGCCACCGCTCACCTACACCAGTCATATACACAGGACATTCCAAATACTGGTTCTTAGTGAGAAGAGTTGTCCTCATAGAATCGTGAAACTCACGTTACTACTTCTAAAACCAAACCAAGAAACACAGTCTATGATTATTATCGACATTTACCGTCTACAACGCCTTACTGCCGAACCTTGTTGATGACGTCACGACTGTCCTTGACACAGGTATTTCGCGAGCACGGCATCCTTATTTTCGCCGACCATGAACTCAATCCATTCTGACAGGTACAGGTCACGTGATACTTTGCCTGTTTTGTTCTTGTCAAGGTCGTTAAAGATGGCTCGGGTGGCATCATCATGCTTGATGCCGAAGCAGTTGAATCCCTTGATCATATCATCCACTGTGATGAACCCATCACTGTCCGCGTCAAACATGTTGAAAAACATGGTGACCATTTTTGTGAATGTTTTCACGAAAAGATCCTTGTTGACTTCGACAAGCTGGCCAAACGCTTTCACATACTGGTCCTCGGTAATCCGCTGTTCATTTTTCAGGATTTTCTCAACTTCCAGTAAATCAGGACAATTATCTTGTGTGATTCCTCCTGGCTTACCCGCCGCCGTCAGATCTTTGCCCTCGCTGATGATAATGCTCCAGTGGTTATGCAGCCAGTGTCGGAGCTCGGCCTCTTGTGCAGCGGTTGGTTTAAACTCCCTGATGAACACATCCGTCATATAATCAAAGTCTTCTTTTCCCATGCCACCATCACGCTTTAAATTGTACATCTTGTACCACATTCGAATTTTACCTTCAATGAATTTGCTGAAGGTAACGGTAGAAGCGACAGCCATGGTATCCGTATAGATCGTTGTGTTTGGACGTCAAAAACACAGAGTTGAGTCTGCTTGCAGCTCCGTTGAAATCTGCTCCATGGTCGGGTCCGAAGAGCCGTTTTATACCAATCTGGTCAGATCTTGTGTTCATGACACATAAACCTCGGACTCGTACACATCATTAATCGGATGAGGAATATTATGTTTTAATATGAGACTTGTTAATCAGATTGGATATCACTCGCCTTATCATCATTTTGACTGATTTTCATCCGAGGGCTGGTCTCATTGGTGTTGACTTCTGTTTGACCTATAGCGTGACATCTTTAGCATTCACACAGATGAAAGTTTTCCCCCATGGTATTTCTTCAGTCAGACTTCATTTCAATTGAAATTCAGATTCAAGATAAGATTGATATAAAAAAAATACTCGTCGGCGATGTAAAGATGCGTTTGATAAGTTCATTTAACATTGCATACTTCTCAACATACCATACACGTGCAACTTTGTTTTCAAAACTTCCACGTGCTGCAGATGCAAATAATTGAGTCACGTGTGACTGAGACAAATCAGCTTGTCATTCTCAACAGTAGCTGATTCAACATAATCCCCGATGTTTACTTATGAAACACTATCAGAAGCCGTTATGTTGAGGATGAGAATCACGTGTTTTAAAATGACTATCGTGTCAGAAATACTTGTGAGGAAAAGCTATCAACATCTTATCCATGTATCATAAACACTAATAACTTCAGGTAAATACCCGATAATATATACCCATACACCACAGTTATGATATACACACACCACAGTTATGATATACACATACACACACCACAGTTATGATATACACACACCACAGTTATGATATACACACACCACAGTTATGATATACACATACACACACCACAGTTATGATATACACATACACACACCACAGTTATGATATACACATACACACACCACAGTTATGATATACACATACACACACCACAGTTATGATATACACACACCACAGTTATGATATACACATACACACACCACAGTTATGATATACACACACACACACCACAGTTATGATATACACACACACACACAGTTATGATATACACACACACACCACATACACACACCACAGTTATGATATACGCAAACACACCCCACAGTTATGATATACACATACACACACTACAGTTATGATATACACATACACACACCACAGTTATGATATACACACACCACAATTATGATATACATATACACACACCACTGTTATGATATACACACACCACAGTTATGATATACACACACACACCCCACAGTTATGATATACACATACACACACCACAGTTATGATATACACACACCACAGTTATGATATACACATACACACACCACAGTTATGATATACACACACCACAGTTATGATATACACACACCACAGTTATGATATATCCATACACAAACCACAGTTATGATATACATAAACCACAGTTATGATATACACACACCACAGTTATGATATACACACACCACAGTTATGATATACACACACCACAGTTATGATATACACACACCACAGTTATGATATACACATACACACACCACAGTTATGATATACATATACACACACCACAGTTATGATATACACACACCAGAGTTATGATATACGCATACACACACCACAGTTATGATATACACATACACACACCACAGTTATGATATACACATACACACACCACAGTTATGATATACACATACACACACCACAGTTATGATATACACAAACACACACAGTTATGATATACACACACACACCACAGTTATGATATACACACACACACCACAGTTATGATATACACACACACACCCACAGTTATGATATACACATACACACCACAGTTATGATATACACACACCACAGTTATGATATACACATACACACACCACAGTTATGATATACACATACACACACCACAGTTATGATATACACATACACACACCACAGTTATGATATACACACACCACAGTTATGATATACACACACCACAGTTATGATATACACATACACACACTACAGTTATGATATACACATACACACACCACAGTTATGATATACACAAACCACAGTTCTGATATACACACACCACAGTTATGATATACACATACACACACCACAGTTATGATATACACACACCACAGTTATGATATACACATACACACACCACACTTATTATATACACATACACACACCACAGTTATGATATACATATACACACACCACAGTTATGATATACACATACACACACCACAGTTATGATATACACACACCACAGTTATGATATACACACACCACAGTTATGATATACACACACCACAGTTATGATATGTCCTTACACACACCACAGTTATGATATACACATACACACACCACAGTTATGATATACGCAAACACACACCACAGTTATGATATACACACACCACAGTTATGATATGTCCTTACACACACCACAGTTATGATATACACATACACACACCACAGTTATGATATACACATACACACACCACAGTTATGATATACACACACACACACACCACAGTTATGATATACACATACACACACCACAATTATTATATACACATACACACACACACACACACAGTTACACACACACACACAGTTATGATATACACACACACACACATTTATGATATACACACACACACACACACAGTTATGATATACACACACACACACCACAGTTATGATATACACACACACACACCACAGTTATGATATACACACACACACACCACAGTTATGATATACACACACACACACAGTTATGATATACACACACACACACAGTTATGATATACACACACACACACAGTTATGATATACACACACACACACACAGTTATGATATACACACACACACACAGTTATGATATACACACACACCACAGTTACACACACACACACCACAGTTATGATATACACACACCACAGTTCTGATATAAACACACCACAGTTATGATATATCCATACACAAACCACAGTTATGATATACACATACACACACCACAGTTATGATATACACACACCACAGTTATGATATACACATACACACACCACAGTTATGATATACACATACATACACCACAGTTATGATATGTCCTTACACACACCACAGTTATGATATACACAAACACACACCACAGTTATGATATACGCAAACACACACCACAGTTATGATATACACACACCACAGTTATGATATACACACACCACAGTTATGATATACGCATACACACACCATAGTTATGATATACACACACACACCACAGTTATGATATACACATACACACACCACAGTTATGATATACACATACACACACCACAGTTATGATATACACATACACACACCACAGTTATGATATACACATACACACACCACAGTTATGATATACACATACACACACCACAGTTATGATATACACAAAAACACACCACAGTTTTTATATACGAAAACACACACCACAGTTATGATATACACACACACACAGTTATGATATACACACACACACACACACACACAAAGCACAGTTATGATATACACATACACACACCATAGTTATGATATACACACACACACACACACACACCACAGTTATGATACCACACATACACACACCACAGTTATGATATACACACACCACAGTTATGATATACACACACCACAGTTATGATATACACACACACACACCACAGTTATGATATACACACACATACACACACACCACAGTTATGATATACACATACACACACCACAGTTATGATATACACATACACACACCACAGTTATGATATACACATACACACACACACAGTTATGATATACACAGACACACACCACAGTTATGATATACACACACAACAGAAATGATATACACACACACACACACACACACACACACAGTTATGATATACACAAACACACACAACATTTAACAAATACACACACCACAGTTATGATATACACACACACACACACAGTTACACACACCACAGTTATGATATACACACACACACCACAGTTATGATATACACACACACACACACACAGTTATGATATACATACACACACCACAGTTATGATATGTCCTTACACACACCACAGTTATGATATACACATACACACACCACAGTTATGATATGTCCTTACACACACCACAGTTATGATATGTCCTTAAACACACCACAGTTATGATATGTCCTTACACACACCACAGTTATGATATACACATACACACACCACAGTTATGATATACACACACCACAGTTATGATATACACATACACACACACAGTTATGATATACACATACACACCACAGTTATGATATACACACACCACAGTTATGATATACACATACACACACCACAGTTATGATATACACATACCACAGTTATGATAAACATAAACCACAGTTATGATATACACACACCACAGTTATGATATACACACACACACACCAGTTACATACACACACCACAGTTATGATATACACAAACACACACCACAGTTATGATATACGCAAACACACACCACAGTTATGATATACACACACCACAGTTATGATATACACACACACACCACAGTTATGATATACACACACCACAGTTATGATATACACACACACACAGTTATGATATACACACACACACACAGTTATGACACACACACACAGTTATGATATACACACACACACACACACACCACAGTTATGATATACACATACACACACCCCACAGTTATGATATACACACACCACAGTTATGATATACACATATACACACACAGTTATGATACACACACACACACACCACAGTTCTGATATAAACACACCACAGTTATGATATGTCCATACACAAACCACAGTTATGATATACACACACCACAGTTATGATATACACACACCACAGTTATGATATACACATACACACACCACAGT